GCCTTGCCCGGCTTGGGCAGATTCCCGGGGCTCCCGAGGCTGGAATTCTGCTCTCCCGACAGTGGAATTCTGACAGGCACTGCCATCTGCCGGCTCCGCGGCCATCCCTCCCAACCAGCCCCAAAAGCACCACACAGGCGGGGTCACACCAGGGTTAACGGGGGCTCTGGATTTTCACAGCCGCCCAGCCCCCGAGGCTGCAGAAATCCCAGTTTCCCCAACATCCTCCATGTATTCTCCAGCTGGAGAAACACAGAGGCTTGGAGGCTTCTGCCCTAAGGCAGGTGGAGGGTCGGGACCCTTGCCCAGCTGGTGGGATTGCACAGCGCTGTGCCCACCCCTCTGGCCAGCTGTCAGCAGGATTCCTGGCCCCGGATCCACCCAGCCCACGCTGGAAATGCCTTTCTGTGCCTCTCACAGGGGCTGGTCACCAAACCAAGCCCAGCAGAGGCCACACCAGGCAGGGCTCTTGAGAGGCACTGCTTCAATCAGCACTGAAGGCCTTTCAGGAGCATTTCTTTGCTCACCAGGCAGGATCACCTTCCCCCTGGTCCATGTGAGTGCCTGCTTTTGCTTCCTTATCCCTACACTGCAAATTCTGCTGTGCTTCACGTATTATTTCAACAGACATCTCCCAGTTTGTACTGATTAAAGACCAGCCGGGCCTAAGAGCAGTTTTTCAGCTGCAAACCAACTCCTGTGACATCACTGTGCTCCTGCTGAGGTGGTGAAAAAGTTTTCAATGGCCTCACAGGTTTGAAATATGTTCCAGACCTGCAGGGATCAGCAGGCTGCAGAAGGGCTGATTTAACACCAAATGGCAGCACAGTTTGGATATTTTTGGGCTAGGATGGAAACATGGAAATGCAGAGGGATTGATTTTCTGTTGAGGATGGGATTCACCTCAGGCAGTGGCAGTCAGGATGCACGAGTCTGAGTCTGAACAGCCCTGCTCCCTCCTTTCCAGCTGATGCAGATGGACAGGTAGGAGCAGGAGGCAGCCAAATTAAGCCTTGTGCTGGAATGGGATGAAGGATCCAATTCCAGGAGCATGGAGGTACAGATTTCACATCAGTGCAACATCTTGATTTTCCTGGGGGTGCTCATAAGCTCTAACAGCTGTACTGTTCAAAGGACATCCAGAGCTGTTTACAGGGGGGATTTATGGCAACTGTGGAATGCTCAGCTCCTGGAACTGCAAGCAGAACAACAAGCTGTGGAAGAACAAGCTCTAATCTCATTTTGGTGTCACTAAATTGCTCTCTGATGATCTTACCTATATCAAAAGCTTGCCTAAAATGAACAGTTTGGATTTTTACAGGTTCCTGTAGAACCCAGCAGCGCAGCCCTACTTTTGATCTGTCAGGTACCGCCTGGGGAGTCCCCTGCATTTCCCTGCGGTGTCACGGGCTATGAACGAGCCACCGGCCCTGCGGAGGCCAGGCTGGCCCGACACTCGTCCCCAAAGGGACAGCGAGCCCCAGCGACAGGGACACCTGCTCTGCAGTCAGGGCAGGCTTTGGCTTTCAGAGGAGAGGCAGCAGCCGTGCCTCCAGGGAGCGTTTTAATTTGTTGTGCAATTTGATCTCTGGAACGAGAGATGTCTCTTCCCGTTTGTCAGCCACCCCGCTAGAAGAAAACAGAGTTGTAAGAGCCGGTGCTGGAAACAGCTCCCAGGATTGCTCATCCACCTCC